ATTAGTCTATGGCCTTGTCTACACTAGGAATATAATGTAGTATCAAAATCGTGTTACATCAATTCGTGCCTACATTTGACAGTTAATGCATCAATCAGAATCCTAGTCTTCGAAATGAATCGTGGTTTTTGTTCACTTTAATCATAGAGGACTCGTCCATTGAAAACTGTGTCAGTCTCATTAGAAAATCGAATCAGACATTGATTGGTGCATCAAATTTAACGTTGTTCTGAAAAGTACAATAAATTTAATGCACTTTTTAAAAGTGTTTTAGATATTTATTAACTGTTCAACCAATCATGTTTCTTAATTCAGCGTCAAAATTTTTAGTGTAGACAAGGCCTATTTCAATATCTTGGCCTTTTTATTTTCAAATACATATGTGGAAAAACTTTATTTCACATCTAGACATAATAAAAAAAGTCTATAATTAAAAATAAATATAATTGCCAGGATAAATAATAGATGAGAAATCACCACCACGATTGTTAATATGTAAAAGCACCTAGCATACTCAAGTTTGTTGTTTTTATTTTGTTTTTGTTAATTAAAATTTAAAATGCTCGTCTCTTCTTGTATTTATAAATATATCTAATATAAAAGACATAAACTAAAATGATAATTTAGAATTTTCAACCAACACAGAATTAAGGGTTCATTCACAATTTCGATCCCCAAACATCTGATTGGTCAGAGAGCCAGCATGAAAGTGAAGGTAAAGGCGAGAAAGTTAATGAAAAAAGAGATATATTGGGGTTCCAAGATGTAAAAGTATCGAATTAAGGAAAATATAAATGAAATGTTATCGATATTTTCAATAGTTGCCGGCGGCGGCGGCTCGAAAATTTTAAAATTTCGAATACTATCGGCGGCGCGGCGGCTGTAATTAAAGTGCCTCAGCGGCGACGGCTTTAAAATTTCTAAAATTTCCACTTTCACGGCGGCAGCGGCTTAGAATTTTTCGAGTTTATCGGCGGCGACGGCGGCTCAGTCGCACGGCTTACACCTCTAATCGTATTACTGCATTAACATATGAATTAGACAAATGGAATTTATCTTATCGTTATAATAATATTAACGAACTTACATTCAATAATTCGTATATGTATGAAAATATTGGTAATTTATCAAAAGTAAAATCATTTATTATAAATACATCGGATTGGTTACTTGATAAAATTATTATATTAATTAAAGAAGAGATGCCTTCAGTTAATTATCTTCGTTTAAATTGTATTCAATCTAATATAAAATATAAATATTTTTCTCGTATTTCATTACCACAAATGCGAACATTATTATCTTTACCTCAATCAGAGATGGACGAGCCGCGGTTTCAGACCGCCCCGCCGGCGGGGCGGTGCAGAAACTTGACGGGGCGAGGCGGTGACGGTGCATTGCAAGATCTTGCGGTTTCCCCGCCCATTGACAATATTGAGTTTTTTCAAACATTTTTCTTAAATGTTCATTTTTTTTTTCTATTTCGAAATTTTGTCTTTATATACAGCGTGGCCTATAAATAATAACATAACGACAAGAAATTTAAATATTTCTACTTCTGGTCGTTCAAAAGAACTCATTTTTTGGTTACTAGTGGAACTTAGCTCAATTTTTTTCCATTCGGATAATGTAAATAAATCCAACTGTTAAGTATTTCAATTGACGTCAACAAAGCAACTTCACTAGTTGTCAAGTAAAAAAATACATATGAAATATTGTGTAGATGACTTTTAGTTGTCACTTGACAGAATGGCTTGAAAAAATTCAAATAAATCTGCTGAATGATACTATATGGATGACATTGAGAGAAATTTCTCAACCAGTCAATTTGAAAGTTAGTAATTACAATGTTTCGAAGTTTCAGGCGTGGAACACTGATTTTTGCCGAAAACTTGCCGACTGAGTAACTAAAGGCTTTTAGATACGCGTTTTAGTTATCAAGCACTAGTTCCAGTATTCAAAGTAGCCAGTCCAGGACGTTTTCTATATGTACATCAATGTAGTATAATTTAGAAGATTTGTTTGAATTTTTTCAAGTCATGCTGTCAGATGACAACTAAAATCATCTACACAATATTTCACATATGGTTTTTTTTACTTGACAACTAGTAAAGTTGCTTTGTTGACGTCAACTGAAATACTTAACAGTTTAATTTACTTACATAATCCGAATGAAAAAAAAATTGAATAGAGTTCTATTACCAACCAAAAAATGAGCCCATTTGCAAGAACAGAAGTAAAGCCATTTAAATTTCTTATCGTTATGCCATTATGTGTAAGCCACCCTGTATTTAAATTATGCCTTTGCATCTCAGGAAATATAATAGTAATTATGAAAAGTTACAAAAAATTTTATGTATAAATGACTTCTGACGACAGACTTTAGACGGGGCGGGGCAAGGCGGTGACGGTTTTATTGTTGGATAGGCGGGACGGTGACGGTGCGAAACTTTATCGACGGGGCGGGATGGGGCGGTGACGGTGTGACTTTTTGGCTGACTCGTCCATCTCTGATCTGTATGGCACTGAAATACAGAGGCAATGGCATGAACTCTCATAGGGTTTTTATCTAGGATAGAAATCATAATTATGAGCATAATATGAACTTGTAATAAAAGAATATAAAACTGCGACAAAAAAAATTTTTATTTTTGATTTCAAGCTTTCAACTATTTACAATTGTCATCATTAGGAAATCATTAGAAAAGAACAAAGTTAAGCTATATATATGCATACAAATAGGTATAGAACAGAACAAACAAAGAAAAAAATATATATATAAATTAATTTAAAAAAAGTGAAGTTGTAATTATGTTACCTTTGATCTATAAATTGTTACTGTGTTATATTTTTTTTTCTTTGTTTATTCTGTTCTATACCTATTTGCGTGTATATATATAGCTTAACTTTGTTCTTTTCTAATGATTTCCTAATGATGACAATTGTAAATAGTTGAAAGCTTGAAATTAAAAATAAAAAATGTTTTTTGTCGCAGTTTTATATTCTTTTATTACAAATTTATTTCAATCTGCGCCTTTATCCAATTATATAATATGAAGTTGAACGGAAATTATCAGTTGGATAGGTTTCTTTGTTAGAGATACATAACAAAAACTCATGACTATACAATAGATTCAATCATACCATACAAGTAACCATACTGGTGAGATTCAATACTAAGTTAATAACATTAATGTTTTTAGTATATAAATAACATCATAATCTCAGTGTATATTGGAGAACAGGCTTTTTCTTCAAGAATGTCGAACGTTAATAATAACAGCATCTCGAATGATACATCTGTAGATATAGCAGTGCCCATGTCACATACGATTGCATTTTGGATTTTTACTATTCTTATCATTCCATCTATTCTCTGTTATTTATATATCTTTTTCCAATGTATTCATAAAGATATGTTGCGAAAACATATTCGAATTCATACTATTTTCGCTGTGTTAATTTGTAGTTTTCTACAGGTATGTTAGACTTTTCGATTTTTTAAAAATATTTCATTGAATATATATTAAGGTGACATCGGAATTACCAATTATACTTTCATATTTGCGAAATAATATTGTTCCTATACAATCGAATATTTTTTGTGAGCTTTGGGCATGTCAAGATTATTCATTTAATGTGATGATTTTAATGTTAATGGGTTTCACTGCAATAGAACGTTATTTACTTATATTTCACAATCAATTTCTTCAGCAACATTTAATTATTCTTCATTATATGCCAATGATTGTTTGCATTATTTATCCAATAGGACTCTATATTTATTTAATTTTTTTCTATCCTTGTATTAATCAATTTACTTATACTATGATTACATGTGGTGGACCTTGTTATTTCTATGAAACAACAATTAGTATTGTCGATATATTTATTAATCTTGTTTTTCCTGTTGCAGTTAGTAGTCTTGCTAGTCTTGCACTATTAACTCGTGTTTTATGCCAAAAACGTCGCATGCAACAACGTCAAATGTGGAAAAAAAATCGACGTCTTCTCATACAATTATTATATATTGTAATATTGTACAATCTTCTCTGGCTGCCTATGATAATTTGTTCATCAATTATGCTTTTTTCTCCAGTTCCACAATCTTTATTGGTTGAATTGAGTGTCAATATTTTACCATATGGTATCTACATTGTCATCTTGTTGTGTCCTTTTGTTTCATTAATGAGTTTACCTGAACTATGGTCTCAACGCAATCCAAGGATTCGTCCATTAGCAAAAGCTGACAATGCATTACAACTTATCGCACCATAGCCAATCATAGGTGTCAATGTTTCATCTAGAGCAATCTGAAAAAACGAGAATATCTTGATTAAATGACTATGAAGACAAGAGTTGTCTAACACCGCTCAATTATACGTAAAACCATTTGTTGTCAGTGATGTTTGTAAGACATTTTGTGAGTGTGAGTGAAAGTTCAAATTTTAAGTTTTTTCTTTTTCTTTTGAATATCTACTTTATTGGTTTAGTTCAACATAGATATCGGCTGTAACTTTTTATTCATAAATAAAAATATACGATTAGATCTTCTTGTCGTAAAACATTCTTGTTGTTTTGTGCTATTTTTTTGTTGTCATTTGCTTATAATAAAAAATAGAACCAACGCATTTTCTCATCTTTTTTTCTTTACATGACCGATTATTGTATTTGAATCGAAAATGAACATGAATGAAGCGTATTTCATTTAGAAAAAGAAATCTAAAGGTTAATGGTTTGATTACACTAAATAGATATCGAACACAATATGACTATAATTTTCTATGGAAAATAATAGTAGGCATCGTTTCATGTGGTTCTTCTAATTAACTTACGTTTGACTCAAAGTTGAACGAGAATAAAGTTACTATATTTACTTGCATTTATCATAAGTAGGTCAATCTTTGAAGTTTTTTTTCACACATCTAATATGCATAAACAAAAGTGATCGAACAATACCAAAAACGAAGTTCATTACTATCTCATACAAAACATTGTGAGATCGTGAGTGAAAATTTGGTAGAATCTTTATTTGAAGAGGCTCAGGACTTTAAATCATGAAAACATTTATGACACTAACACATATTTATCAGCATTAAACTCTGTAATACTGCTATATATGTGATAATGACAAATTATTGCCGGCAAAAAGAATTGAATCTCACTGATAAATCACAGAAAAAACATTGGTATTTTCGATTGATTGATGAACAGTTTGAAGTAAATGCTAATCGTTAGAAAATCGCCTATTATCTAACGGGTGGCCCATAAAGAATCGATCTCTGTATATTTTTAAAGTTTGTCCTCTATTATCCCTAGGATTAAAATATCTTTTTTCATCAAAAGATGGCGCTTAAAATTCTCTACAAAGATATGTGTGGTTGGACTTGAAAGTCACTTTAAATATTAATAGGTAATACAACGTATGTAACATGGTCCTCAAAGGGTTAACTCGGAAGGAGGAAGGGATGACACATTTTCTTTAAACACACTGTTATAATGTGATTCACTAATATTGGATATTTTTATCTTTTCTATGTTCGACTATCGTAATCATGACAAATACTATACATATGAATTTGTATTCTTTTCTTTTTTTTATATATTTTATAAGATTTGTTTTACTTCAAATTAAATCTGTACCTGTAATTGACATGCAGGTAAATTAACATCAGTAATCATTTCTGTACAAGGATGTTCAACTTGTAATCGAGAATTAAGTTCAAGAAAGAAGAATGTTTGATCATTTGGATTATATAAATATTCAACTGTACCAGCACTAATTTTTTTTTCAAGAAAAAAAACCAAGTTTATTTTATAAATTCAATTATTCAAAATATAAACTAACCTAACATAACCAACCATTTTTGCTAAACGTACAGCTGCTTTTTCCATTTTTTCAAGAATTTCAGGTGATGCTATAACAGCTGGTGCGTCTTCAATAATTTTTTGATGACGTCTTTGTATTGAACAATCACGACCAAATAATGATATAGCTTGTCCATTTTGATCAGCAAGAATTTGTACTTCTAAATGTCGACAACTATCAGCATATTTCATTAAAAATATAGGTGAACCTCGTACCTCAATTTGAACCTAATTTATTTATTAAAATATTAATTTAAAAAGTAAATCAAAAAAAAGATTTTATTTTTTTCCTACTTGAGGGTGTGGGTGTGCGTGTGGGTGTCACTTCCTTTTTGTAGATACCCACACCCACACCTACACACCTACACACCTACTCCCACACCCACACCCACACTCACACCCACACCCACACCTACACCCACACCCACACCCAATTCTTTGATAAATGTTAACTTTGTTGATGTAATCTTAAAGAAAGTTAACAAAGATACCGACCATATTTCACATAAACTTGTCTCGAAAGTGTTAGAAGGGTGTTGGTGTAGGTGGATGTGGGTGTAGAGTGTGTGTGTGGGGTGTGGGGGTGGCTATGAGTTAGAGTCCGTTGGGTCCATGATTTTTTGGACCCGACCTGGA